GAAGTTTATGGTGCAAAAGAGCAGGTTGTTTAGGTCAGTGTATGCTGATCTATTCAGACACTAAATGAGTCCTTCTCCGTTTGGAATTGGAAACCGAATTCATGCCACCTGATGAGTCCCTTAAGCGAGGACGAAACCGGTCGTGGCTGCTCCATGAAAGAAAGAATTTTAGATAAATTTAATCTTACTATTAGCAATGTCGACGAAAGATCAACATGTATATTCTACTTGTCGAGTTACGGAAGTCGAACAGCGACATCTGGATCTTATCTGTTGACAGAATAGAATAAGTAAGCTAATTTGTAAAATAAAAAGCTCATTCTATTACCACTAGCTCTCTCATGAACATTTGTATCGATCATTTTTTCTATTTACTCGTGTTGGTATTCAGTTGTTCATGATGTGTAGCTATTATTGATGTTATTGTTCGTCTAGTTGGTCGTCATGCACTTACTTATTTTCCGAATTTGGACGCAGTCATGTGACATTAATATCAGAAGTTTTCGCATGTTCTCCGTTTCCGTCCTCTTTCCGTCGGTGCTGGTCTAATTTATAAATGACTATCTTTATCTCTAGTGCTTTACTGACTAAATAATGTTACTACCTCATATATTATGATTCAGTGACAACAATTTTTGTCGAACTCACGTATACTTTTCGAAGAAAAATAGTGACTGTAAGTTTTAAGTCGAGGTTTTCCGGGCTCTCCCTAACCTTTCATTAGGTCTTACCGACCGGGGGTCAAAGTCCTTGAGTACGAATCCTCCCATATTCGAAACCTTTCCTTGAAATATAAATGGCTGGAATACGTTTTTTAATGTTCTAAATAGCGCAATTTCTGATTTTTGCGCAGATAAATGATTATATAGAACGATTACAACTGAAAAGTCCGAACTTCAGACACAACAGAATATTGACACAATTAACTTGGATGAGACGGTAGTATCAACAGACGTTTCCTCGAAAGGAAAAGCAGAATACAAACGATGGCATGATGCATTACCTTTGCATGCTCTGCCCACGTGGTGAATGAAAAGATTTTTTCTTTACACAAGCAAACAAACGTTAGTTGAAAAAAACCAAATCACTTCCTTTCAGTCCATCCATGCTTCATAGAAACTACGACTCAGTCATTTTTATTTCTATTTCTTTTTAACCTTCAACGCTGACGATGATTCAGAGTATGTTTGTCTTTCTCGCTCTGCGCTGTGATTCTATTCCGGAGTATCCTTTTTTTTCCTTTCTTTTGACAATGAGCAATGTTTGGCCTTTTCCGTCGGTGCCGAGAGAACAAACAAAAAATATTATTACAGAACAGATCTTCGAGTAATCGTTTCTTCTCGTCTAAAAGTAATACTAAAAAATTGGCTTCCTCGAAAATAAAAATATGTTACGTCGAGCAAACGGCTCATCGAAAAACATTCCTCTCAAACAAATTAAAGTCAGTACAAAAATCCATTCATTTGCTGCTGATGTAACAATCACTCAATTCTTTCACAATGAAGAACAAACATCGATTGAAGCTGTCTATTGTTTTCCAATTGAAGAAAATGCCGCCGTGTACGCATTCGCAGCAAAAATTGATGATCGTGAAATCGTAGCACAATTAAAAGAGAAAAAACAAGCACAACGAGAGTATTCCGACGCTCGCATACTTGCTTGAACAAGATGAAAAGTCACAAGATTGTTTCACAATCAATGTTGGTGCACTACCAACTAGAAAACAATGTGAAATTAGGATCGGTTATGTATCTGAACTTGAATTGGTTAATGATGGTAAGATGATTCGATTCGCACCAAGATACAATCCATCAGAAGGACAGATCTCACCGACAGTCGCTGGAACAACATCACAGTACGTTCAGTCAGCTCCCTACACAATCGAATTTAGCTGTCAGATCGACAATTAGGACAACAAGTGTCACAAGTCTCTTCACCTTCGCATCCCATCAATGTCGATTGCTCGCATGATGACTTTTATAATGTCTCTTTGAGTCAACAATCGACACACTTAGATCGCGATATTATCTTAGATATTCAACTGAGTGAAACACGATCAAACACAATTTTGGCTGTCGCGAAGAATGCAGTGATGACAGCCTTTACTCCAGATGAAGAAGATTGTAAGAAAGCTCGTGGTACGGGTGCTGATCAGCTGAGCACAAATGAATTTGTTTTTCGTCATCGACTGTAGTGGGTGATAAAATTGATGCGGCTCGACAAGCAATGTTGCTTTTCTTGAAAAGTCTTCCAGTTAATTATCGATTCAATATCATTCGATTTGGCTCAGACTATCAATCTCTGGAAACGAAAGAGGATGATCGAAAACCTATAAATCCAAAATTTTAGCTTTTCTGACGGATCCTTGAAGAGTTATGAAGCAAACATTGACGAGGTGTCGGTCGATATCTTTAAAAAAAGTGGCATTTTTTTAAAATTTTCAATATATGCTGAATTTCTCCGAAACTACTCAACATATCGAATCGAGTAATATCTCAAAAGATAGAGCAATTTTCGCTCTACAAAACTGTATATATGGACATTCTTCAAGTGCTTTCTAAATGCGGGTAGTGGGGTCCAAATTTCAAACAATAACATCTTTTTTCTTACATTTTTTAGTATTTTGATGGAAAAAAGCTATCGAGAAAGCACGGGTAAACGTTGCTTTTCTGTGCACTGGATAGAGAAAAAAAACTGCACAAAATGCGTCGAGAAATAGATTTAAAAAAATGCACAAAGTACTTTTTTTAGTGAAAAAGACGAACGTGTGTCTCTGCCATTCGAACGTTTTTCACCTTTTTTGGAAAATTTCACCAAAAACGAAACATATGATCCCAACTCGTGTTCACCGCGAGGTATAGAGGCGTAGCTACCGTTCGTTTCAAGAGAACATGCTCGACGAACACGACGAATGTATTCTATCGAGTCACAAAAACAACACGATTCTTATTCGAATGCCACCTCCAACAACATTCAATCTTGCAGCAAATTGTGCAGAAAAAAATATTGAGTGAAGTTGAATGTTGTCTTCCATTCAATTTTGCCCATTAAAAATGCAAAGCAACTGAATATTCTCTTCAATCATATCTGTTTACACTTCCAACCAATCGTTTGTTGATGGAAGAACAACCGAAGGTTTTACATGTGATGTGATTGTTTTGCGAGCAAGTAGAGAGAGAGAGACAGAGAAAACAGAATATCGAATGGTATATGAGAAAACAATTTTAAAATTCTGCTGCATTTTTGCATTCTTTGCGCCTTAATTATGATCCCTTCGGACCATGATATCTTCTAGAAGGAAGCATCCGGGAATTTTGAGCCTATGACAACATTTCATGTACTAGTCGAGATCTAGTTGCTCTGAAAGTTTCAGAATTTTCTGATTGACCGTTCTCCAGAAATACCAGAAAAGGGGGCCGGATTCCCTTAATTCATTTTCATCCAAACTTTGAAACAACAATGAGCTTCTAACGGAAGATGACGTATTCATTGATATTTTCGAATAACCAAAAACCAGGAAACATAACTAGCTTAATGAGACTTCAATTGTGTTATCAGGCAATGATTTTCACGGCACTTATTCAATTTCTTATTTTTTATTATTTCTACTATCTCTACCACTAATTTATGAGAATCGAACGTTGATTTGGCGAAATCTCTTATGAATTGACTTTCTGAACATTTGTCGACGTGACTCATCAATCTCGCAGACTGAAAGCGATTTTCTCGTCGAACAACGTTATCGATTCGAGTTGAATTTCTTTTCAAACACAACGAACAATGTCCATTGAAATCATCGAATCAGATCGATCTGTAGAGGGCAAACAAGTGTATGTCCGCCGTATAAATGAAGAAGACGAAAAAAGCTATCTACCATAATATTGATGGTAGATGAATATGAATATCCATGGTGATGTGCATAAGATCAATTCACCGCATATCATCCAAGATAACCGAGAGAGCGGAAATGATCGAAGGTAGCAGGAGCGGGCGTAAAAAGATCCTAACCCTTCATGCATCTCTACGTGTCTTTAATCGTAGATGCAACCAAACTATTTGTACAGTTCAGAAATAGAACAAACAAAAAAATACTCATGATTGAATGCTGTATTAGTTGCAGCCATAGGAAGATTTTAAATCATGTTATGTGTTTTCTTTCCTTCTGTATTTTGAAATCCTTAAATCAGCATGTTCAAGTAATGTGTATAACTTAAAAAATTTCAATTTCGATCTTATCAGCAATTTTAAAGTTTTGTATTTTTGACTTCTGATACAACTTTTCTCCAGTAATCTTCCACTAAACACATTTCTCTTTGAACATCTTCGTATTTCTGTTGTTCAGGATATGCAATAGAAACAGAACTCATTGAGAAAAATCCGTCTATGGTTTAAACAATACATACCCACATCTGTCGAATGAGTCCGTGGATTATCTTTTTTGCATAAGCTGAAAATTATGATACGTAAGCTGGAAATTATCAACATGAAAATTATATTGAACGGTGGTAGTAATAGCGGTTTATGTCGATATTCTTTAACGAGTAAAAACCGATAGTAACACGATGATTGATAAGCTTGCTCATTGACTTTTTCAATCGTACGGCTAAAACATGTTTAGTAAATGATGAATAGGCTATTTCTAGTTCTCTGAGTATTTACTTGAATAGAGCGACAAGAACGTTTAATAACAGAACATTGGCAACCGTAACAAAAAATATTGTCAGAAAGAGTGCCGTTGTGCCATAAGCATCATTGCCAGCTTTAAACAAAAATAAATGAACATATTTTCTCATTCAATCTCTTTCGAACCTCCAATTTGTGTTAAATTTGAACCATGCATTTCTATATGAAGGTCAACTTCTCCATACACTTTCCATATTCCCCAGTCGATAACATTTCGAACTATTTGCCAAGTCAGTAAATTTGAACCATTATTTTTTAGTTGAAAATCGTAAGTTCCATTTATCGTTTTTATCCACGTTACTTGATCGTCTGTTGTTATAAGTGAAAATGCGGTAATCATGTAGGCAAACAAAAATATCAGAATAAAATAACCAAAGAAAACAATATCTTTAACTAAGAAGACAACAAGTGGATGCGGAATATCATGTAAAGTTCTCGTACATACTGTGTTGAATATTAGTAAAAGTTTGGGTCCAAGTTGTCTATAGGCAAAAAATAAATGAAGGATGCGTACAAACCACATAAACAAATCCAAACACATGAATATTCTATAGATAGAGGTAATTATTAATAATAGTATAAACAAAACTATTTTCTTATTTTGACACAGTAAACACATGTTGATGTACAAAGAATCTGGTAGCAACGCCGACAAAATAAAACGCAAATGCAACCGTGTCCAATATATTCCATAGGTCATCGGTGAAATAATTCAAAATAAATCGTCGTATACTGATTTTTTTCTTTCGATAATATTGGTAATGTGAAGTGATCTTGTTTTTTTATAAAATATAGTTCATTTTTTTATCTTAATAACACAATCACTACTTACTTGTCTAATTTCTTCCATAATCAGACTGGCCATACAAATATGAAGTATTATCTCGGTTATCGGTATTGGAAGTCTATTGAAACCAGACCGTCGTCCGCCATTTACATTTAGGGGAAAATAATCGACGAGTAATACAAAACTGAATAAAGCCAGAAAAGTTATGTGAAATATCTAAATAAATAATGATGTATGAGGACTGTTATGAACGTTAACTTTGATAGTCTTACTGTATTATAGTAAAACCTAACAATGGCATTTTTATTATGGAAATTTTGAATTTTGGTTATGATTGTTCGATACCACCGTCTTTCAGTATTATTTTCGATACCTTTTATTGAACTAAACGTTGAACTAAATATTCATTCCTTTGATCGACGAGAGTACTTTTTCAGATAATGAAAAACAATTTCAATGAAATACAAAGGCCAAACGGATGGTTAATGCAGAAAATATTCGCTCAGTTTTGAATCGTTTAAAGGCATTCGTTTATTGACGACGAGCGTAGGTGGCACGAGTTTCTTGTTAACACAAGGAGTGAGGAGAAGTAACAACCGAGTAGACCCAGGAGAAAATNTAACGTTTGGATTAGAACCAGAGTTTTGCGCTGTTTCGGAACCTGTGGTCAAAATTTTTCTGCCACTCTTTGTTAGGAAGTAATGCGCGAGTCTTTTGGACATACGAAAAAATAGTTTGTACTGCAATTTTTTGACATGATTTCGTGCTTTAATTAGAATCCGTTACAAGCAGACACGTTTCTTTCGACATCAACCTGTAGAGCAGACTCTCGTCAACAAAATACATCACTTTCAGTTCTTTTTGTCTCCACCACAAGATAAAAATTTCCGTTTTTCTAAAAGCGTAGTTTTAAAATACCATGCACATTTCACATAGAAAGTGGCTCTTAGAAAAACGCTCACGAAAAACAACTCTTCGTTCTTTTGGTTTGCAGCCCACCTTGATATCTCAACTTGTAGACATTCTCTCATATTGGAGAAATTTTCTAGTGATGCAGAAAAGCGACGTTTATCTCAACTCACACTCTATGTACGAAACTACTTTTCGTATGTTCAAAAGACTCGCGCATCAACCTTTTGTACAGAAACCTTTTTACCATCCGTTAGAGGTAAATTTTTGTGCTCATCAGGAATCTGATTTCTCTGTATGTGTGCATACTTTTAAGAACCAGTCTCTAGAGGTAAGGTCGAATATGTTTAGTTGATCAATTTATGATATAGCCAGGTTGCAGAACTTTCGAATTATTTATGAAAGAAAAGTAACGTAGTATTCATAAAAAGACAAATTCATATCACCGGACTTCGAAATTGTCAAATGGGATTTGAGTCCGGGGGAATGCGATATTCGGAATCAGCGTATTCGATTGCCTATGAGTCCATGATTTTTAGTCCGGGGTACTTCCGGAAATTAAAGTCGGGGGCCTTTAAAAAAAAGTCGAAAAAAAATTTACGCGTTGACGAGGATTCAAACCTCGATTCTGTCTCATCATAGACAGACGTTTGTCTGTTGTGCCATCAACGCTCTTCAGCAAGTAGATACATTTTATACTGTAGGTGTTGCTGTTTCGTATCGATAATCTTTCGCATAACATTAATATTTTCATATCGTCTCTTTAATTTACTGAGCTACGAATCTATACTCTTGTCGTCTGGTCTACTATCAAGTACAGATGATAGAAAACGAAAACGAAAACAATAAGTATGGGTATTTTCCTGTCTTATAATAAAAATTTTCGTTATTTTTCAACATTTTCTTATACGCTTTAGTCTTCTGTGAATCAGAACAGACAACTCTATTGAGCGGATATCGAATGCAACTGAAGTGCGTCGAATCAGCTAGAGCCGTCATTCATCACACAGAGAGATTGTTGTACGCTAATACTATATTTTCTGCGACAGTTTTTAGACTTGACGGCACCATGTTTTACTCGGACTTTTCTACGAGAACATGGTACAATTAGTTTCTGGAGTTTCTCTCGACCATCCAGCACTCTCACTATGCCATAGTATTTATACTACAACCAATTTCTGAGAAAGATTTTATTCTTTTTTGTACACACACAATGATCAAAGAAAACGTTGGAAAAGTGGGAAGAATTCACCTCTCTACTTGCTCACTACACCTGTGATGTGCTGTTTTAGTAACTTAATTACTTGTTTCTCTTAAATGTTAAACTGAACAGGCAAAAGCAGGAGATATAAACTGCAAAAACCACTCGAAGTGATCTGCACACTACATTAAGAAAATAACAATATGCCTTTTATATAAATCACATTCTGTTTTTACCTGTTCATCTCTAATTAACATGGAATTGAAACATGGAGATAGAAGCAATAATGGAGTTAGAATTAGAGGTAAACTCAGAAGAAATATCTAGAAGAAGGATGAATATCAACAAACCACAATGTTTCTACATCTAGCACATTACCACGAGATCGACGAAACGATGTGCGTTATAGTTAATGTTTCCATACCACCTCTTATCGACATATTTTTGCACAGTGCGAGTTGCTAAAATGGTCGTGAATCAATTTCATCAGGTAAACCTATTATTTTTGAGTTGAAAAATTGTTTAGACTGTACATCCAATAATTTGAGTGCAAAACATTCTTCGTCGTCGAAACATAGATCGATCATTGCTGATGCATGTTGTGCCCATTGTCTAAAACAGATTGATCAATGTTCTATGAAGAGAACGCTGCATGTGGAAAAACAAACTTTGCTTTCTCCTTGTATTCATTAATATCTTCAACTGACAAGCCATGAATGCGTGAAGCCTTGTAATAAATTTTACTCGCGAATAATGATGCAACAATTGGACTCTAATAATATGTAGTACCAATTTAAAGAAGTTAGCTAGATATAGAAAAACGTACTTGAATTTTTGAACATATCAAAATGCCAATATCCGATCGATTTGTGAATATAGACCAAAAAAACAAGTTTTGCATAAAAGACAGTTGAAGAAAAGCAAGTACAAATCTGTCGTATGTGAGTTTATTTTGATAGCTTACAAGAGTCTTGATCAACGGCTTTACTGGAATTTTTTGTTGGAATGTACTTCTCATACCACGATTTAAGTTCGGTACTACTGTCGGGAGTTTGGGTAAGTTTATTCGGCAAGTAGTTTGATGTTGGCTAAACAGAAAGACTTTATTTTGTTCGGATTGGAGAAACATATCAAAATTTGCTGGTTTTTTTCTAGAGATGCGTCAATCGAGATTTCTGCATATTCGAAATCAGCGCGACGAGTTACGTTGTACGGTACAAAGATCTCGTCGGGACCCCCTCCATTTTTTGGATCCGGTGGCTCCGTTGGAGGTTTCACGGTATATTACCCTATATTCAGCTGTAGACATCAAACACACTGCGTTCACTTTTCTTTCCTTTGATCTTATTTTTCTACCGTCCCATATTTTTTTCTTATGTGCTCGTATATACGTGCACAGCGCTTTATTTCTTTTTATAGAAAAGAAGAAATTTTCTATTTTAATCTATATATTCATTTATTCGATGTCCAAAAGAAGCAGTGCTCATCCGATATTCTGCCAACTTCTCAGATTAAAATTAAATTAACTAGAGAGGGTCCATCTCCAATTGTTATATTAGTCTGAAGTACACAAGTTGTACTATATACTGATATATCTTCTAAAAAAGACCCTTCTTAGTTTTTGAGATATGTAGCTCTCAATGTTTGCGATTAACGTTTAGCAAATTATACTTTTATATTCAGCAGCTAGAAAAGCTCTTTTTGGCTACCATGACTTTCCGGCTTTCTCTTCGGGTCATGATAGTCAGAGATAATATCTGTAAAAATGGCTAAAAAACTATAATGAAGTAAAAATCATTTTTCCATTAGATAGGTTCATCTTGTTCAAACTTTCTTATAAGAGAGGAATTAGTGGAAAATAATGTCATAAAAAGCATATCAAAATTTGATGATTTTTTTTTAGAGAAGCGGTACTTAGGATTTTTACGTATTCGGAATCAGTATGCTGACTTACGTTGTGCGGCGCAAAGATCTCGTTGGGGTACACGCAAAAATGGGGTCTTAGGAGTCCCACTCAGAATACCACTGTATTCAACGGTATAGTTCATCGTTCAACTTCGAACATGCCGCATTCTATTCGTTCTGCTTGTAATGTCATTTTTCTTTCTGCTTGATTTCTTCCCTTTTATATAGAAAGGGAATAAAGTGAAAAGTGAAAAAATTCTTTTTTCATCGAAATGTTCACTGCACTCACTATGAAATTACTCTATATTCTGTCAAATTGATAGATTAAAAAGTTAACAAAGTTGAAAGTACCCCTCTCTAGTTTTTAAGAAAATTTGCAGTACACAAGTTGTACTATATATATAGTACAACTTGTGTAGAAAAAGAGCTTCACTAGGGATACATACAAGCTGTTTTCAGAACGTTGTGAAAAGATCTGGAAACAGCCCGATTACGATCAAGTCTAATCGAAGAAAAAAATGACCAAGAAACGGCCTAA